TACTCAGCAGCCTGTTGAACTTTGTGACCTGCAGAAAGTGAAGCCAGACCTTTCTAATCCACGATTTAGAGTATTTATAACATTTTTATTTTAAAGTTGGTTATGCTTGGTGGTTAATGATATACTTTATACTTACAAATGGAGACGAAATGAAAAAGAAGCAGGAGAGATGTGAAACGGCTTTTGGTTAGTTTGGCGTTTTAAATGAGAATTTCAAATTCAAAGCAAACAAATATGCAGAGCCCAAATAGAAAAGCAATTTAGAGGTTCTTAACTTGTCAATAAAATGTATTCCATGTACTTTTCTGCTTAGTTTACAATTGCTCTTAAAATATGAAGGAGACTCATTATTATTTGAACATAAAAAATATTTGAAAGGGCCAAAACTGCCAATATAAATGTTTACTGAAGTTTGTGGGAGGAAAAAAAAAATCTTATTCAATTAATGTCTCCTCACTACTGTTGAAATGCAAAACGGCAGAAAATAAGGTGAACACAATAGGAAGATTTTTTTTAACCAAAAACAAAGACTAATTAAAAACTTTGTTATAAATCTGTTTGACCCTCCACTGTCAAGTTGAAGATTATTTAAATTGTTTTATTCTAACTTTCATGCCAGATTTTAACTGAAGATAAAATATCTAAAAAAAAACAAGGGGGAAAAATAAAAAAAACTCAGGAAGCTCAAAGTTTTAAAGCCACCAGGATAATCTGTCAGCCCTCAGCGGTGTTATTTAAAACAATTTGACACCAAGCTAATGTGACTAAACTAATAAAAAAATTACTTGGACAAAAATGTCATTTAGAATTTAGATTTTTTTGTTTGTTTGTTTTAGTTTCCCATCAAGCTTTGCGGCACATGCCTTTGTAAAATGAGCTATAATTTGCAATCATTTTCTATAATTTGCTTGATTATCAGTCATGTTTAATCGCTGTGGAATAAATGCGTTTATTCATGCTGCTTATTGTCTTTTTTGTTTGTTTGCTCATTTTTGCATTCTGCTTGTCTGCTCTCCATCATTTTGGACACACACAGGTGACGACTGTAAAGGAAAGCAGTACTCTGAGTCTCGCACTGTCGCTGTTACACCACTCCCCAAGTCACAGCGCTTGGTGGGGGCGCTGTGGAGCATCCTAGCTTACACAGGTTAAATGAAGCTTCATCATTTTTAACTGATCATTCCGTTACAAAGATATTTTTTTGTATTCTTGTTGTTATTTTGTAAGCTAGGCTCCTTAAAACCTGTAGCTGTATTGGTGAACTTCATTCGCTCTGTCTTAGCAGGTTTCTGTCTGCTGCTGCCTGGTCGCTATGTGCTTGCAGCAGGTAAAGCTTTAGGTTCAGGAATCGTCACAGCAACACAAAGCCTTCTCTCATGCTTCTGGGCGATCCTAGCAGCCCCAGGTAGGTTTCAGATCTTTATCATTTCCAACAAATTACGATACGCATCAGCTTTAGGTTGATAGTTTGAATATTTTCTCTCTGTTTTTTTTTCTGCATCTCTAGTAAACGCAGGAAAGGGACTGATGTGGTTTCTTGCAAGAGGATGGTACCAACTGGTGTCTCTCATGTCTCTCGTCAACGTCTTCTTTCTAACTCAGTAAGAGTTCTTACCTTTTATGACAACGAATTAATCACAGATATTTGATGGTTTAATAGAAATAATAAAAGTTAACATGGCTGCTTTTGCTGCTATGCATTTGACAGTAAGTATAATTAAGCTTTGCTCAATGTTGCAATTGCTTGATGTGTGAAAAATGATAATGTGTTTTAATTTATACCTATTACAAAAAATCAGGTGTAAAAAGAAAATGAAGTGATTTATTTATCATTTAATTAAGGTACTTTTTTAAACCGTCACATAATTCATTTTTAATTATTTGCCTAAATATAAATAAAGATATATATTTTGCTCTTTAAAAATGTGAACTACCAATCATTTGTAAAATTCAAAGTTTTCTTCTGCGTTTCAGATGCCTTCCCAAACTCTGGAAGCTCCTGTTGCCTCTTTTGCTTTTCTTTCTACTTCTGCGTGAGTAAACAGATGGAACCCATTTACTGTAGTCAGCACAGAGAGAATGATATATGGCTATTAGAACCAGCACAGATCTCTAGAGTCTGCTGTAAATCTAGCTGCAGATTCAGGTCAACCTTTCCGAGTCTTCAATGCAGCTCAGCTGTTCTCAAACAATTTCTTATTTTCCTGCTGAATCATGCTGCAGTTAAAGTAAAATATCACCTTAGTTTAGTTTTAACATTAATTTGATCCTCCTTAAGGGCTAGAAAGAGTTTTTGTTTTGTGTGTTTTAGGAAAAAAAAAACAAAACATTTAATGTATTATGTGTCTGCAACATCAGTTTAACTCTAAATTTCTGAAATGTTTAATATTTAACCAAACAGCTTTGGATTATTATACAAGAGCTTTTATTAACCTCACATTCTTTTGTCTGCCTGCAGTTTTATGGTGGTGGTGGCCCCCGTTCACCAGCACCCTGCTTACCTACCTTCCAGCCATGAACCTCACAGAGTGGAGCTCCACATCTAGGTTTGACTTCTTCTCTAACTTGGCTGCTGTTCCCGCTGCTGTCCCTGCGACAGAGACTCCCATGGAGCAGGGTCATAGCGCTCCGGTCTCCCAAGCAACGGTGAGTAGCACCATCTTATAGACCAGGTTTTCACAAAGTGTGTATGTCCTGTAAACTTGCTCACACGCACAAGGTTGGGTTAATGATTGGACCATCAGACATTAGCGGATTGATTGTAGAGCAGAGACGGAAGCATATCTGACTTTGAGTCAGTCTTTAGAGTTAAATATAAATGTATTAATTTCCCCTGTCTTCCTCCTCAGCCGATCCTCCCCTCAGCCGCCATCCACAGTGGCGTGGATCTGGACCGCCTCGAAGTTGTTGAGCGACAGCTGGCGTTGTTGTGGGAGAGAGTCCAGGCGGGAGACCAGAAGCAGGATCAGCGTCACAGCAATGTTCTCAGTCTCTACAGCTCGCTGAAAGAGCAGGTCCACAGTCAGAACGAAAGGGAGAGCTTAGAAGCGTGGGTGTCCTCTATGATGGATCAGCGACTGGGTGTGCTGCGAGGAGTACTGCAGCGCGAGAACTTAAACTTAGCACAGGTAAGCCTGTCACAATTAAGCAATCGATCGCTTGGTAAATTAGAATTATCTCAGTTTCCATCTTGATGATTAATATTTGAACAATGATAACCCATTTTTTAATGGTTTTGGATGCAAGCGGTTTTTATTTCTATTTTATTTATTGGTTGTGGTGGCTTTGTTTTGGATATTTGAAACATCTTCCAGTTCTAGTCTCAGGTGTTCTTTCCAAAATTAAAGTTTGTTCATCTTTGAGAGAGTGAATTCGCATTATTATCAAAACATCACTTGAAAATGACCTCAAAACACAGCGATATTATCATTTACTGCAATTATTTCTAGGAAAACATATCCTCTAGCAAATACATTACTGTTACAGGCCTACTTATGGCTGATGATCATTAACAGTCCTGACATTGTAATGAGTAAACTTATGAGAGGGTGTGAAAATAAAGATTCAATGTCTTTCTTTTGCAGAGTTCAGAGCAGCAGAAACTGCAACAGGAAAGTCAGGCAGCACGTCTGGCTAATTTAGAGCTTCTGCTCAGAGCTTTGACAACCAAGACTGAGGTATTCACAGCAGGTTTCCTGCAATTCCACAAATGAACACACTGGACCCAGATTGCTTAATATGAGCAAAAACAACAAACTTTATGATGCAAATGAATGGTCCAAATGAAAGTTTTCATGATTGCATTGTAGGAGATGCAGCAGAAGCAACAGCAGTTTGAGGATGAGGCGAAGCAACGGGAGAAAGCGGCTTCTAAGGCGGCTGCAGACACAGCTCCTGTCAGGTACCAGGGAGAAATGATTAAACGTGCTAACTGACATGAGAGCCACCTCATGTCTCATATTACATGGACCATTCTGTTGTAAAACAGGAAGTTTCTGTTCTTTTTATTAGTGTGGGTGTGAAGCAGGAGGACCATAACGCTCTATTGCTGGAGATGCAGAGACTTGAGGCAGAGCTGAGTAAAATCAGGGGAGACCTGCAGGGTTTCGCAGGATGTAAGGGCAAATGCGAGCAGCTGAACACTCTGCAGCAGACTGTAAGCAGCATAAATGTCCCAACCACTCAGCAATTCTCCTTAAATGGTCTAAACTTTATCGAGGTCAAACATTTCCTTCTGTTTTTACTTTAAATCCCCCCGCCCCCCTTTTAGATATCTGGTCAAGTGTCCTCGCAGTTGCGGAAGGAGCTGAAAAATCTGTTCTTCGGCAGCGATGAATCTGCGGACCAGCAGCAGGGCGAGATCCCCGAGTCGCTGATCCAATGGCTGTCGCAGCGTTACGTGAGCACGCCTGACCTGCAGGCGGCGCTGGCCTCCATCGAGATGAGCATCCTGAAAAACATTTCGCTTCAGCTGGAGCACAGTCGAGCCCAGGTTCTGGGCGAGGCAGAGTCCAGAGCCAGAAGCGTCTTTGAGACAGTAAGAGGGACGGTCCGGCACACTTCTACAACTGAGGGCCTGTCTGAAGAAGTAATGCACAAAACCTTCTGCCATTTAAGATTCTCATCTTTACCACGTAATTTGTCTGACATGATTTTATTTTTTTCTCCTTGTTTGTAAACCAGGACGTGAATCTGATTGTTCAGAACGCCCTGAAGCTCTACTCTCAGGACCGGACGGGTCAGGTGGACTACGCCCTGGAGTCTGGAGGTAAGAAGGAAGCCTGTCCACCCTGAGCTTGTATCCAGGTCAGTAGTTAACTCTGTTGTGGTTTAAGGGGATTAGCAGTCTAGCACTTCTATCTCCCTGTAACGCATGTCTTACGCAATGAGGACTAAGGCATTAGCAGCATCGAGGTCTGCAGGGTATTTAACTGTTGTGAAGCTACATGCCTCTGTTATCTGTTGGCTGTTTATGATATTAACTCTCATTGGTGGGCTGGGTTATGGAACACTGTTCTTTGGTCATCCAACCATCCATTTATCCATTTTCTACAGTCAATTATCGTTACACTCATAGGGCAATGTAGAGAAAACTATTGATTTAACTCGCTCTGGTACTGAGTCGGTCTTCTTTTTTGTTCCTCATATTTTTTGTCTTTAGAAACGAACAAAAGAATTTTGCCGTGTGGACTTAATAAATAAACTCTTGTTGCATTACTTTAGTTGTAGCAACTAAGCCTGCCTTCATCTGGACAGTTCAGGGTTAAAGTCTTGGAGACGTTTAAAGTAGGGTTAGGTTATAAAACAATATCTTGTCTGACTGATCCCTGATCTACTTGTATAAATTTGGGTAAAAACATAGTTTCTGTTTTATCAGGTGGTAGCATCCTTAGCACCCGCTGCTCCGAGACTTATGAGACAAAGACAGCCCTCATGAGTCTGTTCGGCCTTCCACTCTGGTACTTCTCCCAGTCTCCACGTGTTGTAATCCAGGTGAGTCCCACCTTCAGATATCCAGAGCAACAAAGTCTGATAACCATGGAAAAACAAAAGCGTGTATAAAAACAACATTTAACTGCTAAACTGCTGACTTTTGACTTCAAAAACTAATACCGTGCTCTTCCATACCATCAGCCGGATGTGTATCCTGGCAACTGCTGGGCATTTAAAGGCTCTCAAGGTTATCTGGTGATCAGGCTCTCCTTGAGGATTCATCCAACGTCCTTCGGTGTGGAGCACATCCCTAAGACGCTCTCTCCAACAGGAAACATCGCCAGTGCTCCTCGCAACTTCACTGTCTTTGTAAGAAAACTGACCCAAAAACCTAAGAATAGAAATAAATAAATAAGTAGAAGAATCAAATAGAAACACCAAGTGTCCTGTTCTGACTTGTTTTTGATTTTTATTTATTTTTTTCCTTCTTAGGGTCTCGACGATGAGTACCAAGAAGAGGGAACGCTGCTGGGGCACTACACATACGAGGAAGATGGTGGTTCTTTGCAGATCTTCCCCGTTAAGGTAACTTTAAAAGCAACTTTCTAAACTTTTAAATGTGAAAAAAAAAGAAAACGAGTCTGTCATCTTTAGAGAAAATAAATCGATAAGAATTCCTTTGTTTGCTTTCCAGGAGAAAAACGACAAGGCGTTCCAGATCGTAGAGGTTCGGGTTCTGTCTAACTGGGGTCATCCAGAATACACCTGCTTATATCGCTTCAGGGTCCACGGAGAACCACTTACCGAATGAAGCAACCACCAAAAGACACACTAATAAATCATCATTTTACTCTGTCTGTAAATAACTCTCACCAGCTTCTTAAAAGCGAAGGACACCTGACAGTGTGGACAGTTTGGTATGAAAGCCATGCAAACGGAGAGGTTGTGGAGTGTGAGAACAATGTGCCGAGTCGGAAGAAGGAAAGTATGTTTATGAAAGAGTCACTGGGAAGTTTTGTATCTGGACTGTAAAGGAACGCAGAGAGGAGCGGAACCACGAAAGAAGCTAAAAGTCCCCTTTTCATTGCACTGAGTTGCTCTTGAGGGTAGCGAGGCTTCCCCGAGCAGACAAATCCATCCCCGCCTCTATGGGAAGGTGGACACCTTCACTGGGGCGGGGATGACAGACTCATCTCAGCCACCTTTTCAATCTGCATCTGATTTGTTTTAGTTCTTTTCTCTTTTGTTTTTAATCTCTCTTAATGGAATCTGCTATTTTTAGGAACAAGACCACTCTGTCGTTGCCAGATATGCCACTCCTTTAGTTGCTGCAGCTAAACCGAGAAGTCCGCAGATGGGTTCCGAATGCTTTCCCATAGCCATAAGACTTGTTTTTAAAGAAGTGAACATGCTGCCTGTGAACAAGTTCTGAATGTTTGATCAAGTGCAGGCTCAACGCAAGTTTCCTTTAATCACACAGCAACTCTATAAAACACTGACCTCTGTGCGATGCAACTCTTAGGAGGCTCCTTACCATCATGCAACATGTGGCTCCTCCTTTGAAACATACACTGATTTTACATCCATCATGTACAATGCCTTGCAAAAGCATTCTTTTATTTATTTATTTTTTTTTACATTTTATCACATTACAACCACAAACTCCAGTGAGTTTTTTGGGGGGTGGGATTTTAGCTGATAGACCAAGACAAAAGTATATTATGGTGAAGTAGAAAAAAAGATACAGTCTTTACATTTTTTACAAATAAAACTCCAAAAGTAAAGTGGTTGGTTGGTTGCCCAGGATTTTATGTTGATGAATAAAGGTAAAGGAAGGCAAATACAAGGAATTTCTGGAATGACTTTTGTGATGGGGTGGAGATTCTTGAACACAACCAGAGTTACAGTGGAATGGGTTAGATCAGTGCTCTCATAGTCAGTTCTCAATGGTCAGCGCTCTACATGTTTTTAATATCTCCCTGGCTCGACACACCTGGATCAAATGCGTCTGTTCATGACATGCTGAGAAGGTCATTCAGGTGTGTTGAAGCAGGGACACTTCTAAAACTTGTGCAGTGCCAGCTCCGGATCTTGACGAAAGTATATTCACATGTTAAAATGGTCCAGTAAAAGGTAAGACCTAAATCCAGTTAAGAATACGTGGCAATACGTGAAAAGTGATGTTTACCGACGGCGCTTGAGCAGTTTGGTAAAAAAGAAAAAAAAATAAATAGGCAGCAAACATTTTGTGAATAGATTTGCAAAGCTGTTAGACATACTCTAAAACCATCGCAGGGAAAGGCGACTCCGGGGTTGAATACATATCCATACCACAGTTCTATACATTTATTTGTGAAACATTTGGAAGCCATGGATCCATTTCCACTTCTTGGTGCTGGTAAATCACATAAAAATCCACAGAAGTTTGTGGTTGTGAGATGACAAAATGTTGAGGAGCATGAATCCTTTTGTGCGGCACTCTATATGAAAGTGTTGTTAAATCTGGTGCCTGGAGCTTAGATCTTAACCAGAGTTGTGATACCATGTTGACCATAGATTGGTTTTTATCTTTTTCTCTCTCACCCTTTACTTCACCTAAATGTCCCTTTTCACATGGGCTCTTAGAACTCTAAAACCCCGAAGGAATGTAATTTGTATATTTCATTGTTTGTAGTTGGTCTTTTTATGATATCTGCTTTTATCAGTGTTTCTTTATTAAGATAAATCCAGTCATAATTATGACCATGTTGCTATTATTTTTAAAGTTTCTCATTGTGTTTGCTTTCTTTTTGTTTTGTTTTAATTTGGGGGATTATTCTCAACACAGGATGCACTGCAACAACATGTAAGACAAAGGTTTGTGGCACGGGGTGTTTTTGTTCAAAAATGGGGCTTTGTAAAGAGTTGTGGGTTGGGTAGGTCTAAAATACTATTTGTAAAAACGTTTTGATCACAATCTTATTTATTAACAAGTTATTAGTGGCTGCAAATTATGAGTTTTGGCAGTGTATATTTTGTTAAAAGCTATTCAGTGCATTTTGGAATTTTTTTTTAAGATAAATGGCTATTTTTGTTCAGTCATGAGATGACTTAACTGCTTTGGAATATATTCCAATAAAGACTTTAATTTTGATCTTTTATACCATTCATGTGTTACTTGATTTTATAAGCATGATTGTGCTGTTGGGTAATACTTATTAAGGAACTTGAATTGTAGCTCAAAAACAAAGCTATGGCAGGTTTATTTATATAGGACCATTCATATATAAAGATTTTCTAGTGTTTTTCAGAATATTAAAAAAAAAAAAGTTTAGAAGAAATCAAGCCTAAGCATATCAAATTTTACAAAAAGTTGTAAATCTACAGATACTGGGAATTTATGACAGATTTATTTATTTTCAGTTGACTTAGTAAGTTTGTGCTTGCATTTGAAAAATATTAATTGGAAAAATATTATTGTTGATAGGGGGAAATTAACAAAAATGTTTATTAAGAATTTACTCCAAAATGACTTATTAGGTATTATTTAGACAGAAAATAGCTGAAGGTCAATAAATTGATCAAAGGAACTGGTATGAAATGTATTAAAACAGTGATGTATTTCATCTAAACAGCAAGAGCTCAGGTAGCAGGATATACACTATTTGTTATTATAGAGTTAAAAAAATTATGTAGTCTGAACGCATATTTTCCTGATCAACTGGATCCTATTTCAACGCACTATACATTTTTTATGAATGGCAAAGTGCCGCCATCTGGTGGTACATGGCCATAATAGCTAAAATGTGTCTTTTCTATTTTTTGTTTTTTGTTTTGTTTTCATTTACTTGGTAGTTTGGATACAAAGTGTGGAGTACTAACATTCACTTTGCGGATTTTATAGTTATTTTATGTCGTGAATAATTTAAACATCCGAAAACCATTTCCGTCACTTCCGCATCTAAATTTGAGATTGGACCACGAAGCAGCTGCTGTCTCGAAGGACGGGTGCTAACCTACATTTTAAAGCTACAACCTCTATGAGAAATAATGTTAAATACCACAAGCGAGCTCCGACTGACAGTAATGTTTACATCGGAAGTCGACTTCTACGCACTTCCCTAGCAACAACACTCCTTGACAACAGCTAATGACCACAAGCTAAAGAATGGCAGGAACAGATGCTAATACATCACTATGGGAACAAATTTGCCAAGGTAAGATGAATGTGCCTGTATAAGTCTGAGTTTAATGTAAATAAAATTAATTGCTTGTGTGTATTTTAAGAGTTTGAAGCTGAGCAGCCCAGCCCTCCTAAACAGAAGCAGAAGGTGAGCTGTAGTGCCTTGAAAAGGTATCCACACCCTTTGAGCTCCCAGGTTGTGCCATGGTACAGTCACACGGTTCAATTTTCTTGGGATTTCATGTAGCAAACCAACACAACTGGTTTTCAAATTTCACAAATATAATTCTGAAAAGTGTGACCACTTAATTTATTACTAAGGGGCACCAGTTTGTCCCTTAGTAGTAAATACACTTGTTATGAGTACAAATTATATGACTGATTTGAGAAGGTCAAGTCTGAGGTTTTAATATGAGAAAAGTTTGGGAAAATAGCTTAAAGGGATTGAATGTGTTTACAATGTGCTTGATGAACATATATTTTCTGCTTCAAGATCGTTTAGAGTAATTATGGCTTTATTAGGCATTAGTGGATGATGATCATCCGACGTGCACGGAGCCTCTTTCTAGTACTAGTGGCTTGAAAGTAGTTCCTCATCAGAAGCGCCCTAAGACAGCTGAAACTACACCGTCTCCACAGAATAATGAACGTAAGATTTACTGCATGCCTGAAAAAAATTCTTCCATCCCTGATCTGAATTTGCAAAGACTAGCATCCATGTGTTTCAGGTCCGGTCAAGCGGTTCTTGGAGAAAATAGTGTTCCCTGTATTATTACCTGGGCTTGAAGCTTTGCTGCGAGAAGCCCAGAAAGCTGGCGCTTTTGAGGTCTGTATTTCTTCTGATAAACATCACACTAAATATTTAAATATTTCAAAAATGGAATGTTTAATTTGACCCGAAAGTAAATTTATTGTTTACTGCCACGGCTATGACGACAACTAATAAAAGCGTTTGTCAGAGCTCTCAAAAAGTATTTGGAGACATAACAGAGTCGTCTGCAGACCTTGACACTATTGAGAGTGATTTGAATATTCTGGAGACAATATTCTGCAACTTATATCATCAGTGAAATAAATATCATCAGAATCTTTTATCTCATATCTCAAGACTTTCAAATATTTTTTAATGTTAGGGTTTGTGTCAAACTGGTATGTTTTACTCATTCCAGAGAAAAGTGACCAGATTTCTCCCCTGTGACTTCCTAACTGAGTATCTCTACAAGTAAGAGCCCCCTCCCACATATTTATATGACACTGCATGACTAAGCCAAATAAATTAGCTCATGTTGTCTTATTTGTTCTCAGTCAGAACCCCCAGAGGCAGGGACAGGATCCAGTGAACTTTTTTGACATTCCCTTTGTCAGTGACTGGCTGAAAGAGCAGTAAGTATCTCACATTATGCAAACATACACATACAAATATTTGGGATAGAGTTAGCTCTGGAAATCCTTGGACAGTGATGTCTTTTTGTCCTTTGAGGGTCTTACCACCTTTCACTAAGCTCAAAGACCTTTAAACTTCCTCTTTCATGTTGTGCATGTTTAATCAGATAAAATTATAAAATGAATATTAGTGAAAAAGGTTTGTTTTTCTTCCAATCTTGTGAAAATGGCTACATTTCTTCTTGCAGTGGCTATGGTTTAATTTCTGATGCGATAATAGTCATTTATTTTCAATCCTACACCATTGTCGTCTTCATTTTTTCTTGTCTTGTATTTTTCCAGTCCTAGACCTCCCATCCCTTTGTTTCTACTGCTCAGTGAGGAGGAGGCTGCCCTGATTGTCCAGTCTTTCTGGAGAGGATATAAGGTGCATCATTTGATTTTTTATTTTTTTTTCCATCGTAAAGTGGTTGTACAACAAATAATTTTATTTTTTTTAAAAGCAAGAATTTAGTCCACAAGTTTGAATGTTTTTTTTGTGTACTTATTGTTAATCAACACAAGCTAAAATATATATACACTCACCCACACTAACATTTACATAAATCTCCGTTAGTAAGATGGACCTTGACCACATGATTTCTGTGGCCATCATCAAATATCTGGCATAAGTCTGAATGAACGTTTGATAACTCTTGTGCGAAGAAACTGCAACATTCATTTAAAGTGGTTGGCTTAATAACCCATGTCCTGCTTCTGAGGATAGTCACGCATTTTATGGAGGCTGAAATATTTTTATTTTCTCCTGGAATGCTCTATTTTGTTTAGGCCAGATATGTTCTCTATTCTAAGGTGCATATAATTTAATTCTTGTCTAATTAGTCCAAAGAAAATCATTGCAGAAGTCCTGGTCTCAGTTCTCACTAGCAAAGTCTAGTCTGGTCTTCATGATTTTCTTAAAGCGCAAAGATTTTCTCCTTGCACACCGCCCATAAAAGTAAAATTCCTGCAGTCTTTTTCTCATGCAGGCAGTTCTGACCAAACTGTCAAAGGTCAAGTTACTATAAGATAAAGTAAATCAATGCATATGGCCCAAAAGTACATAAAAAGGTTCATTTTAAAACAGAAAAGGAACAGCTTAGTCAGTCCACAAGACCGCAGTAACCCTGTGTGTGTGTGGTCATCTTAGGATACATTAGACGCCCTGCCTCTGAGAAAATTAGCCCACACCGTAATCTTGTTGTATAATCCCATTTCGCTGTAAAAACCTCCTCTTACACAGGGGCCTGTAGTTTCATTCAGCAGCGTGGTTATGTCATCGGTGATGCCAGGCTTTAATTCCCTCCTGTGTGGGTGCTGCTGAGATGCCGCGATATAAATAGTCAGACGCAGCCAGAGGCAAACAGCAGCAGTTTCGTCACTCTCAGACAAAAGATAAACACAATGTTCTGTGGTGTGAGGCCAAGTGAAAGGGTCGTGTTCTGTTTGTCCCAACCGTAATGTCATCTGCAGTTGCTTTTAAGTAAATCAGCAAACCTATTCAAACATGTAGCTGGATTTATGGGTGTGTGCCTAAAAAAAGCTTTGCTGGAAGTGCAGGTGAATTGCTTTCTGTTTTGGATGCTTTTTACTGCCAGCAGGGGGAGACAGTGTCCTTCTTTTCAGCCCGTGTTCATCTGTGGCAGCAGTGACTGTGTTTACCCTGAATTGGGAGACTGTTCAGAAAGGCCACTGATGGCACTGCACACGGTCAGCCCCAGGGATCTTGAGGCAGAGCCACACAACAAAGAGAGAAACTGAGTTGATAGGGAGAGAGAGCGGGAAGGATTAAGAGGAAAGATGAAGCTATGTTTGGAAAATTCTGGGGTGGGTGACAAAGGGGAGGAAAGAAAGCATGCTGATGTTGCAGAGCAGTGTCAGATTAGAGACTGAAGCTAGATGGAAGGAAATGCAGCTTTGTCAGCAGAGATCAAGGATTAAAAATGCGGTACAGTCAGTGTCGGAAGTTGGAGATTGGGGTTTTGACTGACGCAAGATCACAACTTATTAAACACTCACAGGATGGGGGTATTTTGGGCTTGCAGAGTACTGACAGAGGCTGTGGTGTATCATGACTGAAGTAGATGTATAAAGTCATTTGTGAATCTGTGCAAGTCCTGCAGAACCTTTGTGATTTATGGCCACCCAGATATAAATTCACAGAATTCTGAGCCCACAGCTAGTCAACAATGTATGTTTACTAAAATCAGCGTCTGTGTGAGATTTTCAAGTAATGGCAAATACTTTTTGAATTTCTAAAATATCCTAATCTGATGTTGAGATTTTCTAAGGTGTATATGATCAAGCCCCCCAAACTGATCCCTACATTTGTTCCCCCTTAGTCTCACGCTCAAAACTGTTATACAACCCGCCTGACGCAGCACTGGCTCCCTGACTGCAGTCTGTGCCTATCTGTGCTTGTCCGTGTAGACTTGTGCGAGTATGCGTGTTCTGGTTAAGAAACACAGACAGACCAAAAGCGCAGGAAGCAGAGACCGAGAGTATTTTTGCAGAGCTAAATTTTCATCCCTCCATGATTAATCATTCTCATCGCAACGCTGCGCACTGAAGTAGAGACGCAGTGGAGCTGGCTCTTACACACATGCACAAATTAACTCCTGTCAATGACTTAGACAATGACACTGTGTCTCGTTTCCCTTTTCGCTTCCAAAAGCATTCATACGCCTTGAACATTTTCACATAATGTCACCTGACAAAAAAAAATCTTCATTGTATTGTATTGGGATTTTATATGACGGACTGACACAAATTATTTAGTATTTCAGGTATTTACATCACTCAGAATACAGTCATCCTTCACAGTAAATCATGTAAACGGCAGCATTATGCTATGGGGTGCCTTTCTTCAACTGAGACCAAAAAGCAGGTAGGACATGATTGGAGGACAATACTGTTAGGAAAGCTGCTAGAGGCTGCAGAAACTGGACTAGTCTTTATTGCAAGCATTAAAGCACAACATATACTGTTCAAAGCATATATATATATATATATATATATATATATATATATATATGTGTGTGTGTGTGTGTGTGTGTGTGTGTGTGTGTGTATTTTAATAGCCCAGTCAAAGTCTGGGCCATCAAACTTTAGGTCTGTAAATATCCAAAGTTGATTTGAAACATAAACCTGATGACCTGCACCTGGAATTACAGTGAAAGGTTCTGTAAAGTTATATTAAAAACTTAAGCACTCCACACTTCCTAGAAAAACTTAGTAATTTTTCCTTGGCCATCCAGTTATGTGGTGGACTATCACATAAAATCTCAATAAGACACAGTGAAGCTAGTTGCTGTAATGAGACACATGAAAATGCTCATGAGGTACGAGCACCATAACCAGGAAGAGCCGTAAGACCGTAACATGTTGCATAATCTTCTTTAAACTACGTGCCTTAGCCCGGCCATAATCCATTCATCCATGCCTGCTGCTGTAACACACATGTACTCTAGCACACACAAACACTTTTTATGATCACTAAGACTTATTAGGATTACTCAAATGTGGTCAGCTGAGTTGGAGCAGTGTAGCTGTTGTATAATAAACTACAGTTTAGCTTGTTGATACTATAAAATTGTGTTTGTGTGTTTCAGAGGTATTTTTCCCACTGTTTCCATTTCTTGTTAATTACGATTTATTTAGCATGCACACACTCTACTATTAATCACCTGGCTAAAGTGACTGGCTTTATTTCCTCTATAGACTGCTGCTGCACATTAGTATCAGAGAATTGGTACTCTTCAAACATAAACATAAAAACACTCTAAAAGTAAATGCTATTCCTTGCTGTTTATTTCGCACTAAACAGGCTCATTAAACACAATGCAATGTGTTATATATTCTTTTAACTTTCCCTGGATTAAATCTAGAAAATCTAGCATTATGAATTATGTTTTAACCCAAAAAAAATTGCAAACAGGACTAATATTTATTAGTAAGTAATGCTTAGATTTAATTGGTTTATTCCTGCTTAATCCACTAGAAGTAATGGGCTGGCTGGTTTAAAAGGGGTATCAGTTAAGAATGCTGAAGCTTTTTCCTCATATCATCTGTAAACTCAAAAAAACTGGATCACTATTTTCAGTCCGATGTTTGGTTAGATCTACCACCGCCTCTTCACCAACAGTATGAAATATTTCACGGTATATTTGTAAAATATAAACATGGACAAATAAAACTGAAACCCTTAAAATAACGTTTTGTGGCAACATCTTAACAAGCTATTATCTGCACTTCAAAATGAGATGTTTGCATTTGCCCAAAGACATTGATAGAGAGGTAAATCCTTCTAAACCCCAAAATGCATTTTCTCTAGAAAAGAGAAAAATGATCAAAACAGGTTTTCCTACTGTACATTTATTGCTAAGTCTTGTAGCAATACAGAAAGGAATTGTTTAAAATCTTTGGTCTTATGTATTTATACAATGTTTTCATTTTCACAATTTTTGTTGGATTTTTAGGCCTGGATTAGAATAAAAAAGAAATAGGGCACTCTTTGTGCTGAGTAATATTTCATTTGACATGACCTGATATTGATGGTTTGACATATTGACACCCACTCTGCCCACAGAGTCTCTGCCAGACAGCAGTGTAGTCGACCAGAGAATTAGGTCTGGGATTCCAGCTCAACGATCTAAGAGCAGCCATAGCTGAAAGGTCTGAGCTGAGCTTCAGTGTTAGGTCAGTTGACCGACCACGTGCAGCGACACTCATGCAGAAAAAATGTCACAGGCACTCAGTCCATTAAATAGCCATTTTGTCTGCTTCTGCTTAGTGCCCACTTGCTAACTTATAGCAAGGCACCGTTTAAACGAGGTGGGATTTATATGCACAGTATGGTCCGCGGGAAAAAAAATGAGAATTCCTTCAGTGTTTTATAAAAGCACAGTGGGGGGGTGTTGGAGCCACTAACTGTGTTCAAGCCTGCAGAGGCAAGTATCAGACTGCAGGTCACCGGGCTGGTTGAACTCTGACGGAAGCGCCTGGCAACAAATAGATGATGGATGGCTGGATGAGGTGTGAAGGGGAAGATAGAGCAAATGTGTGGGTGTCTCTGTGTGACTTGTCGACGTTGGTGATAGTACTGCAGTAAACACAGACCTTAGTGCTGCTGCAGAATGAGAAACTTAGTTTCCCAAGCAGCAAAGCAGAGCAGCCTGAGAGGCTGTGCAGCAGAGCTGAAGTATGTGTGTTAGAGAGAGTGTGTACATTGTTTGTTGGAGTTATGCAACTTGTGGGAGTGCGGTTTATGTAGGGCTGCATCTTGTGCTGCCACTGGTGTGATTTTTGTGAAGATGTCTGTGGGACTTGAGTTGGCGGCTGCCTTCATGCAGTATTTTCTTCTTCTGTTTCAGTTCGGTGGTGTGTGTCTTTGCTCGTGCTAGCATTTTACATCTGAAGTAACGCATGTGGAAGGCTACGGCCTCCCAGTGTCCCGGCGATTTTTCTAATCACTTTAATCCATGCCTGTGTGCATTGTACGCAGCATGAGCGGAGTGACTCACATGCAATGAACTAAACTCGGCCACGTGTGCAGTGACACAAGTGATCACAACAGCAGCATACTGTGTCCGCAAACAGTCATAAACGATTCCAACTTAGATGACTATGTCAGAAAAAATACACTTTTCTAAAGCCTTAACCTGAGATCAGGCGCTATTGTCAGAGGCTGAGTTATAGTGCACAGAAAGATTACTTGTTTCAGGAAAAATATGGAAAAGTTGATATAAGTATTTTCAATAAGTGTGGACAAATACAAAATGGAAAATATTTGGATTTAAAAGCTACGGTATATATCCTGTCATATTCCATATCCATCCAAAAATAACAGTCTTCTCACTCTATCCATACAGTCTCTGGTTTGTGGATTTTATATTTCAAGCCACATGACAGTAAAAAGTTATCCACCATAAATTCATCTTGAAGTGTCATGGTCATGCTTTAAAATGTTTTTCATAAATGATCAAGAACTTTGATACTGGAAAAGATGAAAAATGTGCCAGAACTTTGTTACTGTCTTTTTGCACATATAATCCCAAACTGCACTTTTCGCCACTAGACAAGCTGGTCTTATTCACACATACGGGATATAAAACGCTCTCAGTCAGCTCAGCTTCTTTCATCTGTCTGTCATAGACACACTTAAAAACATTATGCATTTTAAACGTGTGAGCTGTTTCTAAGCAGTTGTTTTTATTGAATTTTTTTTTTCTATTTAGAAGCAGGTTATGGCAGCAGAAGCACAATAACAAGGTATAAGATTTATGGAGGAAGCCAGTGAAAATTGACATTCAGTCTCACACACAGAGAAAACAAGCAATGGTGAGCAAACACAAGCGGTTCCAACCCCCCACACATCCTGACCCTCGCCCCTGATTTCCATTTCTATGGTTCGCTCCCATCAGGACAGGGGCTGCTGCGGCACCATGACACCCATTGAATTAACTGTTGGAGCTCACTGGTTGGGTTGGTTTTACCAATTCGTCAGCCTCACGGCCAGCCTTATATAACCGGCCTACTTTTATACTCCTGAGCATGAACGCTATTGTAGCCTCACAACCAGACACTCAAGAGGACGTTGAGGTTCACTGGAAGCAGAGGGCGAAAAAGATGGGTGAGAGGAGACGTGGAGAATGCAAAACAGAGAGGACAGAGGTGGACGGAGAGGGATGAAACATTGATGTGAGGAGAATCTCAAGAGGGTCTGAGGTGTTGTTATATGAGCCACTGAGGAGCTGAAGGGGAGGAGAGGCAGAGAGGAAAATCTCTCTGAGTAAAAGAGAGAGAAAACCTTTTTAGTGGGAGAGGAATAGGCAAGTGAGCCCTGCAGGGACATTTTCTTCTCATCCTAAACAGCAAACATTCAGTCAATCTCTCAGCAGCCCACACACAAACACAAAACAACTACAGGGGTTTCCTCCAAGAACAAAAGTATGAGTCATGTCAACAACAACTTAAAGTCGGAGATGCATCAAAAGGCAGCTTGTTGACAATTAGGCTGCATGGATTTCCACCCATTTAGCCAGCCGCACAATGCAGACGCAATCATACTTCAGACATGGGCCCGAACAGTGACTCATAAAATGACAAACTGCTTTGTAAAGCTATAGTTATTTTTAGCTGTTTTAGAATATAGATGACAACCTAGCTTCATCTTGGCTTTGTAAGTCTTTTTAATCTGACTCATTCAGATAAGGGCATGTGTGTCTTTTCGACACCTTTTAGCCTCCGTAGCATAGGCAGGCAGGTTCTATTCATGTTATTTATATACCCTATATCTGGCAGGCCTGAATATCCCTACTGAAATTTTATTTATTATTTATGTAGTTTCCCTGGCAATATAATTACTTGTATAATAACAAAAGGGTAGAGATAGATGGGCTAATTTATCTTTGAGAGGATTTGTATGACATACAGTGATGAGAAAGCGAGCCTGCTCTTGCAACAAAGTGCAGCCCAGATTTCTAAATAAGGTATGCAAGGCATGCATTTTATTAGCATAAAAAGTCTAACACAAAGTTTATTTCATCACATCATTGTGTCACTTTTTTTAATCTAGCCGTCCCCATATGCGACTTCTACTGTGCAGATTTCATTTGGTGTCACACAGACACCAAATGGAAGTCATTCATTTATTCCTGCTTTAATTCAGGACCAATTTTAACCTCTGTTGTGAGATCAAAGGTCAAAAGTTTAATCGGGAGGAGGGTCGCATTGTAACAAATCATTACAATTATGGGATCAGCATATAAATGAATTTTGGACGGGATTTTTGTCCTGTTAAATGGAAACCATTTTTTACAAATGTGTACTGAGCTATTTGAAACAAGAGAATCACAATATTCATTGAACATGAATATTCAATGAGTATTAATGTTCATTGAATATTGAACATGTTAAAACCTTGACTTATTAATGCTATATGTATGAGAGTAATTTTAAAAAAAAGATATTACTGTATTTATCACTGATTCTATAACACTAATATGAACAGATCATCGTTGTTTGTTGAAAAACTGTTTATTTTTCAACAATAAGTTCAACAAATGGATGATGAGCTGGTTGAAATACTCAAATGTTTTATTTTGAAACATCCATTTAAACATTTTCCGTTAGTTGAATGGTGCTCATTAATCTCCCACAGCTGATCAACACTGCACTGATTTAACTCACCTGGTCCCCATGTCACTGATCACATCTCGTCTGCATTTAAGCTTCCTGATGTCCATTGGTCACTGCTAGCTTCTTCAATTTCACACCACTTAGTCCTGCCTTGTCCTCCTCATGCAGTGAATGTAAATTTTTGATGTTTGTTTTCCATTCTACTCACCATGCTATTTTTATTACATTGTCTCCTTTTTGGTCGAGATGGAGCCTCACAATGCACAACATCCAACTCTTGTTTAAAGGATAAACTTCTAAAAGTGTTGTAAGAACTATCTTGCGAATGTGCAAGAAGTTTTCGAGTTTCTCTGATTTTCATCTCAGGCGGTATGCCTAAAACAAAACAAAAATATATATATATATTCTGAACATTTGAAACAGTTTAGTAATGAATAACTTAATGTGTGTGAATTGTGACGTTTGCTTTGGTTGACACGTATAATTTGTTGTCAGGTCAGAATACGGCCTGATGTGCAGGAATTACGTAAATTTCAAAAGGAGCAGAGGGAGAAAAGTGACATTACCACAACGGTTGCACGTTTCTGGGCCCGGCAAGAGAGACGAGGTATACACACACACACACACACACACACACACACACACACACACACACACACACACACAGGCAAACCTATACATGCACATCCTTTTACTGCTATACAACCTGTGGATTTTGTATTGACTTTCATTCATCATAGTAAATGCATTTATGCTGAACCCCCAAATTTTTCCTAACCTCAACCCTGATCCTTACCCAAAACCTAACATAAGCTCAGTTCATAACTTAGTTCTCAACTCAACTCCTAAACCCAAAACAGCACTTCTTCTTATGGATCCTGGGTCTCAAGCCCCATAAGGAGCAGTTGGTCCTCATGGTCCTTACAATGTATCAAATTACACACACACACAAACACACACTCACTCACTTTTAGTCACTGATTTCCAGTCCTTGGGCTATATTGCTACTGCTGTAGTTGACAGCGGTTGTTGCTTATACAGTATAGAAGTATTAGTAAATGCATTATGCAAAGACATGCTTATATAATACTACCAACCCCATGCGCCGTACACACTCACTCATGCACCTGATTTGCCGCAGAGATACAGTATTCATCCTAACACGGCTTTGATGTCAAAACTGAGACGAGGATTCTTGCAGCGGCAGCGGCACACAGTGAGAATGAGGCCAGCGGCGGAGATAAAGACACGGCATAAAAAAGAAAAAAGAATCTCTGCAGGGCTCGGGGTGTGTTTGTGTGATGGAGATGGCAGAGTGTGGGGGTTGGTGGGGGGGATACATGTGAAGACAGAAGGGAGTTACACAGGGATTAAGACAGAGAAGTAGAAGACTATGTGTGTGTTTGAGAGCTGTGGTTCGCACACATGAAGGATGAGACACAGCAGCTGAGAATGCATATCTGTGTGACATAGTGACTGGCATTACGGTTCAAGGATAAAAGCTAAGCTTTGTTCTTTGAAACGTGCAGAACCAAGAAAAAGTGGCTTTTAATGTGATTAATTCTCATTGTTTTTTGCACATGAGGAGCCACAAAAGATCAGAAATCTATCAAATCTATCTGGTTTGAGATTCTCACTGTGTGACAGCTGTCAGGAAAAATATAAAATTTTCATAGTAAAATTTCGAAAAGAACATATGAGCCGATCTAACTGCCTACATTTGAAACATTCTAGCAACAAATTGTCCCTATCTTGTAAAATGGTTCTGTATTTTGATCATTAAACACTTACATTTATTTTAATGCTTAGGCCAAAATTATAGACTGCTTTTAATGTCATCTTTTATCCAGGTGTCCAGTAACCTCTACTGCAGCCTAAAATGCTTCATAATTAAAAAAGATTACATGAAAACTGGTCAGGAAAACAATAAAGTCTCTGAAAGTAACAGTAATGAAGCAGTAGGAACTACTGGTCAGTCATAGCACTCGTAGTCTTCTTTACACTCTGTTATTTACAGAGAAAGTTTTGATTATTTATATGGGAAATTGAAGTCCGTGCAGCATCAGTGATTCTCTCATACTGAGAACAAACATGCAAGACCCTTCCTAGTAAGAGTAATTCACCAAAAAGTAGCTGCGTAGTTGTATATGTAAGTGTACTCTATTTTGTTACACTTTACACTTCTTCATATTTACATTATCCAGTCAATACTGTAAATGTTCTGTGCTTCACATGCTTGACACAGTGAGACTATTGGTGGCAAACCATCAGCTTCTATAACCACCGAATACAAATATGAGGAAGTGCATAAGATTTATAAAATAGTACTAATATGAACTGAAGAAGTTTGTTTGGTTTTGAAGACATCAAGAGAGTTATCTACTGCAGGTTAGATATTAACTACTCCCAATCTTCTAACACAACCTAATTTCACAAATCCCAAACTTCTCCTTAACTCAGACACATTTTCCCTCCCACATTGTGGGTGTGCTATTTCAAACATACCGTCTCCAACATGCATATTAAAGCTCATCATGATTATATTGCTGCTTGTGTTTCTTACTAACACTGCCAAAAACCACCATGATTGCAGGCTGCCTCCACGCTAACACATTCCACATAACAAAAGGGCCCACTGCAGCCACAGCGGGCCGTCAAACATTCCTGTGCTGTGGTGCCACAGCGTCACTGCCGTCGCTGCTGACCTGACATAAAAACAAGGGGGCCTGGGGGTGTGTGTGTATGGCGCAACACACTGTGTGCAAAATAAAAAGTATACCCGGCCCATCGTCCAGAATGGAAATCATTTTCTGACCTCTTTTGCGGAATATGAGCTGGACTAGGAAGGGAGGGAAGCGGAGTGACAGAAAGGAGGGGAGACATGATTAACAGTGGTGATTTTGCTGTGCTGCGTGTTGTTTTGGTTGAGAGCACTGACAGATAAATGAGCCATGTTTACCACTGCGACAGAAGCAGAGGGTGAGCAAAAAATATTTTGGGAAGCTCCCCCCTGCGTATGGAAGCTCTTTAAGTTGATCCAGGAACAGCTGCGCTCACCTTATTTGACCTCAGGAGCAAACGTGCATCAACCCTTCTGGTATTTTCTGGTCTGAAATCGGATTTAGCCTGAGACGGAAACTAAAAACAATAAGACGAAGGGCAAAGGGCAGACACAGAGTCATTTGTCAAAATGCTGAAGGGTTGGAGCTCCGTGAACAGGTGCAGCTGTTGGCGCTACATGTATCACCACGTGACTGTCATTAGTGGGATGTTTACCTTCGGAACATGCCCTGTTTGTATTGTACTTTATCAAATGAATCCTGAGAGGAAAAGTTGTTTTTGTTTCCATGTGAGATTTATTTTGGGAGTTTAGTCTGGAGTGAGCTTTTTTTATTTATTTTATGTGTTTGTGGGGATTTCTGACCATTTTTCCAAAGGAAAAAAAAGAAAACGAAAAACTAATTTGTGAGATGTTCGATGAGAAGACCTGGATAGCAGTCACGCCTCCTCTGATTTATGCTCGCCCTTGTCTTTCCTGGCCTTGCTGTGTGCACTGGTGGACCGTCACATTGGAACATGAAGGAGCCATCTCCAAACACAAAATCTTGATATGCTGAAAACGTTAGACATTTCTTTCACTGGAAGTGTCCATGGGCCAGAAGTCCAATACCACAATCCTCCCACCACCAAACTTAGCACAATGCAGTGAGCCCAGAGTTGTTGTCATGGTAACAGTTTAAGCCAGACTCTCCCAAAGGACTTCATACACATTACACTTGAGAGATTATTGCATTGGAAATGTCTCCATTGCTGTACCGTCCAATGATGGTGTGCTGTATACCACTGCATCCCACGTTGGCATTGTACTTATATAATACAAGATGCTTAAACTTAAAGGTGTTTTGCTTTTAAAGCTGTGTACTGCACTGTTTTGAGTCTATATCTTGGAGTTACTCTTTCTTTAACTTTTAATTAACAAAACCAATTGCAAACTTCTGTTGTTTTGGAAACCAACAATTGTGAAAATTAACTCTTCACACTCTAAAACCAGCTAAAGCTTTGAATTAATCAGCATTCTTCCGTCTAGTCCTTTAAATATATATATATATATATTTTTTTTGTTTATTTGGTTTTTTTTTTGTTTTTGAATGTTCAAACTTATATCTTCAGTGAGGTTGTGGTGCAAGGTGCAAAATTCTTAAATGCAAGGACTTTATTTGCACTAATGCCTGTATTTTTTTGTTGTTGTTGTTGTTGATTTGTTTGAAACGTAACCAACATAGTAAAGATACCTTACTGTTGTTGTTTCCAGTTGCTATGATGAAGGCAGCGCAGGCAAAGAAGCTTGATGCTGACGTCTCTGCCCCTCAGTTGAGCATGAATCACACCAACCAGGAGACCCCAGGGACCAGTGAGATGCAGACCATCAACCCGGGTGAGGAAACGGAAACATCCTCGACATGACTGAGCAATACCCTTACTTTTACACTGAAGGATAAAATAACACTTGAACACTTGAGCTAAGTTGTTTGTGTTATGTATTTTCTGTGAAATAATTATCTCCTTGTTCTATGTGTTTTTTATGGTGTTATACGGCTGTTAGACTTTGTTACCCTGAAGTCAAACTGACCAAAGTAATCAGTAAAAGTTGCTGTACAAAGGCCTACAGGACCTGATCCATGTCCAATCATTTTATTGCTCCCATTGCCTCTCTGACTGATCACTTCCCTTCATGCGTCTTACCCAATAAATTAATTCCATATAACTTAGTTCCCGTAATGCTGCCAGAAGGGAAACCTCTTGGAACAGACCTGATATTTTCTCTTGGCACCTCCTGCTGATGTCTCACCAGAGGACAACCGTATTTCCTCGTTCTGTCTCTTCTTTTATTATCGCAGCAATACATATAATAAAAAAGGTCGTAGCTTTTCCATTTAGGCAGACAATGAAGGCCGGAGTGAGGAGTGAGGAGTGACTTGGCCTTGGCGGCAGCACTTTCTGTCCTGTTTACCAGGAAAGGAAATGTCCCTGTCAGGGAATCAGAGAATAAAAACAATGTTTTAAATGCCAAGGATCACTGGTGAATGATTGTTGTCTGTATTACGGAACACATTAATTATTATTCTCTTGAAATATTTATCATTTATGTAGATGTAGCACGTTTCCTTGTTCAATAATATGTATTCAACACTAACAGATACATTTATCAGCAATCCCTGTGGTGATCAAGCATTGTCTCAATCTTTTCATGGATCATCCTTGAATGAGTTCATGAAATTTGACTTGCAAAAATAAAACCCTACACGATGCTCAATGGACTTTTCACTTCTTTGATTTCCTTCGTTGAAAATGAAAATTGTCTGAGCTGTTAGCCTTATGTCCTGACTGCAGATTAACCTGAAATGCAACATGCAGTAAATGCCCCACCGCCCCACAAACTGAACATACCTGAGAGGATGCTCTGTGGTCCCGTGATGGGAGGATCTCTCCATCCTTTCCTTCTCTGATTTCGTTAAAGTGTGGCCTTTAGAGGATCTACGTTCGTCTTCCTGCAGCAGCAGCTGCCACTGGGTAAGCTGATAAAACCACCCATTTTATTCTGGGGACATCTGATACTGAACCCAGCACTAGAGAAACTGGCATCAGTGGACCAGACTGAAACTGGATCCCATGGTGCTAGAGTTGAAGCGGCACAAGGTCGACTCTGCATAGCTAAAGATCAAGTGGGTCTGGTTTCCAGGCGAGAAGTGGAAGTTAAAATTATTGGGTACAATTATGAAGAGATAACCATCGTATCTATTTGTTATGTGGGAAAATATTATAATCTAATTCATACTCCAGAAGCACTTCATTATTTTATTAACACAACAAGCATCTTTCAGATTGTATGAAAATTTGGGTTCAGTCCGATGCAAAATGATTCTGCATCAGTTGCCAAAATCATGGTTGTGTATTATGAGGCCATTTATGAGCTCTAATCTTTTTTAGTGTGATCTTCTGCCACTACAGTGAACGATGGGTTTATTTTAAAGCTTTTTGGACATCAAGATGCTGCGTATACATGGGACCCAGGAGCTGAAAATAATTCAAAACATAAAGTAATAAGCCAAACTTATTACACAAAACGTCATACTCCTTTTAAAAACATGTAACTACTTTTATGAAACAGCAGGTTTAGCTTTATAAACTGTATCCACAAAGATAGACGATGTTTCTTTCTTTTTTAAATCACCTTTTAATAGTTTACGTTTCTTTAAAAAAAAAAAACTGCAATTTTTACTTTCCTCCCAAAGTTCAACATTAACCTGGCTTTTCTTCTTTTACACTTTTTCAAAACAATTACAATTTACAGGAATAAAACACCATATCCAGGTAAAAGTTCACTACAAACATGACACTTTTATTGAACTTTTTTCATCCTGAATCGGTTACAGAAACAACAGAGTTAACTGTTTTATTATTTTTTTTTCTCTTTTTTTTTTTCTAATCAAGAAATCAAGTTTCTATACATATGCATGCCTCATCACTGCACAGTCATAGCTGTGAAAACCAATACTGCCCCTGTCAGCTGCCCTGCTGGAACAGTCTGAAGGCAAGAAGGATCGGGAGAGGAAAGCCTTGGAGGGTGGGGCGTTGTTCAGATAGGCTGCCCAGGGACAACAAACTCAACATAGAAGATTTGTGCAAATTTCACCACAGTCTACTTGATTTGTAACACAGAGACAATATCAGTCAGACGATTCTCTTTTTTTTTTTTTTTTTTTTAAACCTTTAAGTCTTCAAACCCAAGCAGAGGAACGTATTCTTAGGTCCACTGAAGATGGCATGTTGTTTCCTTCATTGGGAATCACTCTCTGTTTGACCGTCCTCTGATTTTAATCTCTTTACTTCACAACAAGCAAGCTTGCTTTTGTGTTTTCCAAAGCACAGACATTAAGTGTGCCTTCTGATATACACTGAAATCATGATTGCTGTCACATGACCGTCACATAAATAGTTAGTATTGAAAAGTACGTCTGAGAAAGATCTTATATGTAGAAATGGTGATTAAGCATGCACAGATAGGTAGTTGACGAGTGCAAAATCTACAAAGTCACAACATGTTGTTATTCTTCCTTTTTTTTTTTTTTTTGTAATCCACACCGAGTGAAAACATCACGAGAACTCAAACATCCCTCCTCGATTGCGAGAAATGTACTGGTGACCATGAAAACCCCTGAGGACTCTTCTCCTTGCACTGATCTGTTTCTGACCAGGACTGGCCCAGACACGGCTCAGGCTGAGAGGACAAGCTGTGTCTGGGTACGAAGCTGGCCTGCAAGTAGTCGTCCTGTTTTAGAGTAACCAGAGTTTGAGACATAAACGTACAGCAGCAGTCAGGGGCTAAATCCCCCGCGCCCCCCACCAAACTTTTCTTAGCTCAGGGCTGATGCAAGTTCAGATAACACTACCATGGCTTTTGGTGATCTTACAGTGCCTTGCAAAATTATTTATACTTCCTGAACTTTCACATTGCAACCACAAACATTTATGTATTCCATTCGGGATTTTATCTGACAGACAAACACAAAGTAGTGCTTAGTTGTAAAGTAAAGGAAATTGATGCATGGCTTTCAAATTATTTTACAAATAAAATTCAGAAAGCTGTTGCATACATTTGTAGTTAGTCCTCCCTAAAAAAAACGTCAAAGCAGAATCCACCAAATTAAGAGTCCAATTTAAAGTAAATATAAGACCAGCTGTTTTGTGAAGGAATGCACCAGACAGATCAATGATCAAATATAGGTTTTTAAACAATACCATATTGTTACTCTGGAGGTGCTGCAGAGATCCTCAACTCAGGTGACAGAATTTGTTGGACTTTATTGAAAACTGACAAGAAAAAAAAGAGATTAGACCAAAATGGAGATTTTAAGCCCACATGGAAAATGCTGAATGTAGCAGAAAACTAATACTGGACATCACCTTGAACACACCATCTCCACTGTGAAACACAGAACTGTGTCATTATGTGGACATAGAATACCGGAGGAAAATCATAGAGGCTCCAAAACCCTAACTCATGTATTCAAATGCATGCCACTATTCACAGTTTTTGAAAATCTTTCATAAAAATATAACTAATAACATTTATCTCTCCCCATCTCAGTTGTCTTTGCTTTATGTTGGTCTGTCATATGCTATGATTTGACAATAAAATATGTTTAATTTTTTGGCTGCATTGTGACAAACTGGGAAAAACGTTCAGGGAATAAAAATACTTCTGCAAGGTACTGTATTTAGTGTGGTCGACCCACCCTGCTCTGCTCTGAGTTTCATAAAAATAGTCTTTGTTTACTGCATGAAGTGCCAAAGTTATTCACAGCTATTGTCTTTTTGTTTTTCTAAAAATAAAAACAGCAATCAACAGGTACAACCAACATAAATCCCTTTAAATGAATCGCAAAATATTCATGAACAATAGTCCAAAAGGAAAAAAAGTAAAAGCACATCTAGCGTTGGCAAAACCATTTTCAAAACTCCAGCAAAAAAAAAAAAAAAAAAAAAAAAATTAAAGACACCAGCAAGAGAAAACTAAAAGCATATGGAAACAAGGCAGCGCATGAACACAAAGCAAGCAAGTTAATCCAAATTAAAATCAGTTCTCCAGTGCATAATGGGTGTCTAAACTCAGCCTAGTATTAAAATAAAAAGGAGAAAAAAAAAACGTAAACGAGCAAGCAAAGCATTACAGCACTACTATGTACACAGTTTCTCAGGTGAAACAGAGAGCTGGTGTCACGATGTAGGGAAAGCGTGTAAAACAGAGACTCCAGTGGAACATGGAGTCCTTCTTGGCATAGGGACTTAAGCTATGAGAGACAGGGAGAAGGTGAAGAGGAGGAGGAGGAGGAGAGGCTCCCACATCATGCACATAGAGACTGGAAGGCTATTTTCTCATATAGAGTGACTGAAGATCTGGCCTCACCACCATCCCTCTCTATATGCCCCCTCCTGCATCTTCTTCTCCTGCATTTGATCCTCTTCTTTCCACCACACAGTGTAAACCTGATCTCTCTGAGACTCCAGAAGACCTCCACACAGCAGAAGCAGCTCTAAATATAGTCTGCCGCTTGTTCGTTGACGAGTGGATCCACACCGGCGTTGTTCCTGTCATGTCATTTCTATACCTCACTGCAAAGAATTTTAGCACCAGAAAACAACTTGTGAGCCCTCACGAAACCACAAAACTCACATACAGTATATATGCACACAAACACAGACAGAGGAACCGGGAGCAAGAGGCCGATTCATTTCCTCGCTCCGCTTCCTGCTGATCTAATGTGACGGTTTCTCCTGGCTGCTTCCATCCGCCACTGGCCGCTGGAGATGCGTGGAGAGTGCAGAAGTCTGACCTAGATTCCCAAAGCTGCACCTCCCCTGCTGACGACTGACGCCTTCCTTCTCCAATCACGATCCACTCTGCTCTGCTCTTTTTTTTTTCTTTCAAATCTCTAGTAGCGGTTCAATAGCAGCATGATGGGTCAGGTCCTCCAGATTTACTTTTGTCGTGTCTGTGCTCACTTCATGTCACTGTCCCCTTTATATTCAGGCTTCACAGTTTGTATTCACAATGTGTCCATGCAAGTGGGATGATGACGCAAGGTGAAGAGAGTTATGTGTTGTAGTCACAGACAGTGCAGGGAAGAGGAGGGGAAAAGGTCAGGGCTAACAGTCCAAAGGAGGAGGAGGGTTTGGAGTGTGAGAGCTGTACAGATCACACAGACACACTCATTCCCGTATATAGACACCAACAGAGGGTGACTTGTTTTTAAGAGAGCGGCACTCTGGCTCAACCCTTACAGTGTGAATGGATGGAGGACAGAGTTAAAGGTTTCCGCTCCAATGCCAGCACCGTAAAGCAGAAAAACAATGCACCTGACAGGATAAGAGCTAGAACAGAACGAAGAGTTTGCTTTCACAGTTTTCAAAGATGCCTGCAGTGCTGGAGTGTCAACGGAACCAGTCATACCAAAAGAGAGAGATAATGTATTGTAATAATAATAATAACAATTAATAATTTCAGATAATATTGTGAGTTCTGTTTGGCCACTATCATACTGGACACATTTCAGTTCATGTTTTGCAACTCTTCCATAAATACTTATTGACTAGAAAAGTTTTAGCTCTGTCCTCCACATGCGGCCCTCTCTCAGTCTCACTCACATTCATTCCATAATTGTTTGGCACACAGTCAGTGATAAAGTCTGTACATGAAAGGGCCCTGCAGGCAGACAAGCCTAAAGTCCAGTCCAACTAGATGCCTGCCCCACCCAAACAGTCCTGGACCCCTCCCTCCTTCCGTCCTCTTCATCCCGCCATTTTCCACCAAACGTCGTCTTTCCTCTCGTTCACCACAGCTGCCTGCCAGTGTAGGTGGGAGGGGCAGAGGGCACCTGTGGATGAAATAAAATTGGTGTGTAAATGATAAACAGCCTGGAAACATCATGTAATCAAACATGTTTTGCTAAAAGGGTTAGCTGCATTGCAAAATGCCATATTTCCCCTGGTCCTTTACACTGGCTTAAATTTTTATACGGGAACTTTGCCTCCAGACTAAAGAATATTTGGGTTTAACTAAAGGCATGTTGAATGCAATCTTTGTTTTTGAATTGTTCATACATTTAAGATGTGATTTTCTTTTTCTTTCTCTTTTTTTTGCACATCACAAAATATTTGTTAGCAAACATGCATTTATATTCTTCGATGCAAAGCAGGTTAAATCAGTAAAATCAGTATTCCACTGCATTAATTAGTAATATTATATAGACTAGTTAAACAATAGTTAGGCTACTGAAGTAGGATTTTAGTTATGTTAAATCCCAAATTATTCAAACCACTGGCAGATTTGAATTTTAAATTATTTTCTTCAACCAAGATCTTGGTTTCTGATAGATAGTGAGACAGGTATTTCTCAAAGAATAAGCAAAGCAAATGGAGTTTAAACGTCAAAAAATAAAAAACTGTCAAATGCATTTTGTCAAAATATTGCTTGTGAAAGTTCTCGGATCCTTAGCTATCAAATTCTTCTTATAGCTGTGTACAGACTGCTTTGACATCTTATCTTTGGTGATGAGCTCCAAGTCTTTGAGATTGGAAGGGCTCCTTGCCATCACCCTAATATTTAGCTCTTACCACAGATTCTTTGTCAAAAAATAAATCTGCTCTCTGACTGGGCCAATCCAAACTTGAATATTACTTCAAGTAAAAAGAAATGTGTTAAAAGATCTCTCTGTGTATAAACCTGCCGGCGGTATGGATAAGTTTGGACTTAACGGAAAATCATCTATGAAAGTGGTCTTCCTCTGCCAGCCAGAATGTACACACCTCTTGATTTTACAGTCCTGCAGGCAGTTGCATCACTCAACAAATAAAAACAATTCATGGGCGAGTTAAAGACACTGAGGCTCCCTCACAATCACTCGCACAAATCACTTTGTGAGTTTGAGTGATGAGCGACCAAACCAGTCCATGCATTGGCAGAGACATGAGCATGCAAGCACACACCTCTCTCTCCTTGTGCAATGACGCGTGATCCATAAGGAACTAACGTACATGCAGTCTTGTCGGCGTGATGGAGTGTAACAGCGGCGTGTAAGCGGCGTGTACCTGTGACTGGGAAGATGTACTCACCGCTCCCCCGTTCAGGATCATGGTCATCTCTGTGGGCTGGTAGACGTTACTGCGGAAGGGAGCACTGGGCCTGACACCCGTGTTACTGTTGTGTTGGCCGGCACCGCCACCGCTCCTCAAGCCTAAGAGGGGAACACAGAATACTCATTTTGCTTTTTCTCCTGAAACACTTCCTACGCAACAGAAATTTTCCTCCAACACCTATTTCTAGGCTCTCAGGCAAACCTTTCCTGGAGTTTAATTTTTCACTTTGGCCTACATTCGTCCTACAAGCTGCCCTATGGAAGTAAATATGTGCCATCAGGATTTGAATAAAAAATATCTCTGGAATTTGAATGTTGTATATTAGTGCTTACTTTTTCAATGTTAAAATTAATTCAGAATATATTTTTAACCTAAAAAAAAAAAAATTCAATGTCATTATTTGTA